ATTTTTTTTAACAAGTACAAGCATTAGTCAAAGAAATTTTTAATTTAAAAAAAGAAAAAATACAATTTTTTAGAGGTCCCTTAATTAATATTATATTTATAAAAACTGAAAAGTTATTATACTGTTAATCAATAAAAATACAGTTAACCATAAATAACTCAAAGTGAATGAGTGAAAAAATTTGAATTTCAAAAATCAATAATGTATTATAGCGTTTAAAAGAGAATTTTAATATTTCAGACATCAAAAATGGAAGGTTCAAGTTACCAAATTTACTGTAGACATTTAATTTATTTCACATTATAAGTATAATTGTAATCATAAATATTTTGAATTATAAATATATTAATTATCTGGATCTTCAGATTTTTAGGCAGCATATATGATTAATATTTTATTTTTTTAAACCCATTGGCTACTTTTGTAATAAAAACATTTTTATATGATAGAAATGTAAAGCTATACTTAAAATATGTCTGCAGGTCTCAAACAATGGGAAGACAGACTACAGATTTAAGACCCTTGTTTTAATGTAAATTAAAATCACACATACTATTTTCATTTCTTTACAATTATTTGAAAGACTGGAAGACTAATATTATACTGTTCAAACTAATACTTTTAACTATCATATTATTTTATAATACTTTTCATTAGGTAACAATCATTAATGATTTACAAGTAAGTTATAAATCTAACTAATCCAATAACAGAATAGTTAAAATCTAATCAACAATAGATATTAAAAAGTAAACACATAACATACAAAAAAACAAATAGTAATGACTTAGGGCCATTCTTACTATCTCCAGTTAAGTGTCATAACTTTAATCGGACATTTGTAAGAATGGCACTTAATTATACAATTACACATATTAGTATTAGTATTATATAATACTCTAAGTTTAAATGATTTATGAAAAAATAAATCAAAGCTGTAAAAGTCATATAAAGTATAAACCATATATAATGATTAAAAATAAACAAATAAATTATCGCCATCTTGTCATAGAATCAGCTTCCGGAGAATTATTTTTTGA